TCGAGAATTACATATAAATTAGTATTAGGATTTTGAAGCACAAAATTACACTGGTCTTCAAGGATGTGGTGAATTTCTCCAAGGGTGTGGTGAGAGGTGGTGAATAACATTTAGATTGGAGCGGCTCCTCCGGTAAAATAGGAAGTGGGTACTCCGACACAGGGATAGATGGTGGTGGAAAAGGTGGGTCAAAGTCATATCGACAGCTATACCGTGGTGCAGGAGAATTAAATTCCGGTGGATAACGACGTGAATGAGGTGGTGATGGTGGAGGACATTTAAATTCGCATTCCAGCTGCGGATGATATGATGGTGGAGGACATTCAAATTCCAGCGGCGGTGCATGACATTCAGATTCCAGCTGCACCTCCGGTGAATAAAATTTCGTGTGCAAATAAGTGTTTAACTTTCAAAGTATGGGGAAAGACATTGAGGTCTAAAAACTGTGTGGATCTGGAGATATAAGTTTGGTTTTGGGGGGAAATAAATCGACGACCCCAAAACATTAAATTGAGAGTTTGGTTGCTTCCAACAGAGTGTTTGTTTGTATTGAGATTTGAGTTTCCAAGGAATGCTTTACATTTTTCTCCCTTATTTTGCAGGTTTTGCATCGTATTTATGTACTAAAGAGGATGCTAACAAGCAACAATCGAAGAACAAACATAATATAATGTACTAAAGAGAGATGAAAACTGTATCATACCTCCACAAGTCAGAGCTTTTGCTTTCCAAGGCATCAAGTTCAATGTCCAGCTGCATCCTCTTCCTTTCAAGATTATCAATTTCTTTAGGTTGGCTATCAAGCTAGATTCTCACAATGGCACAAGCCTCATCAATCGGTTTGTTCTTCGTCTTTGTATGGTATGGTGATCATATTGCTCTACATAACTCCAAGTTTCAAGATGAAGAGATGTGCCTCCATTAGTGGTACTAGTTGTTTTACTTGGTGATGATCTCAAATTAATGATGGAGAGATCTGATATACATGATTGAAAAATGCATATTTGATTTAGCGCGCCACAGGGATGTGGCAAGACTACACTTGTGTTTGCACTTTGATTATCTTTTCAAAACTACAAAAAGGTACATTGGTCCACCGCTATTTACTTCATGTAACTCTAGTGATTCTTATACTAACTAACCAATATCTTAGGAGTCACACGACCATATCCATAGACGATTTTTTACTTGACTCCAGGAGCCAGGAAATATCAATTCAAATTTTTTTACTTGTAGCATGTTTGGTCTAGACTCGAAGTTTCATCTGATCTTCTTTTTTTTTTTAATTTTGAAATATGTTAGATGCTATTGAGAGAGTTTTAAGCTTTGTAATTTTGATAAACTATGAACGAGATGCGAATTCCATCAAAACACATAAAAATAGATACATCAATTATAAGTCAACTGCAATTTCATCTTGAGATATTTCTCAAATTGATATCTAATGAAGTTTGTTTAATAAATATTTCTTTTTGTATTTAATGGAAATGCTTTGAAGGATAACCAAGTTAGATTTTGAAAAAGCAACTAAGCAATAAAATTACAGAAGATTGCAAGCTGTAATTAAAGTAATCAAGTCATAAATCAAGGGACCCATAATTTTTTTGATGGAGAAAATTATGGCTCCATCGCA